TCATAAATCAGAAGTCTTGGCCCCCAATATGGCCTTTAAAAGAGGTTAACGTTCAATTCTTAGGGATTGAAACCCTATCTCAAGTTAAACAGAGCTTTAGATGGATTGATTTCATTGGGCCAGAAAGACAGAGAGGAAGGTTAAAGCCATATTTTGTAGATATTGCTATAAACCTCTGGGGTCATGATCTATTACAGCAATGGAATTTGCAGATTAACATTACTTCTGTATCAGCTAGGAATATAGACAAGGTTTGGTAGTAGAAAGAATATAGGAAGGCAGTACAGAAAACAGATGCCAAACATACAGGCTGTACAGAAACTGGATGCAAGTGCCAAACCTACAGAGCAACCAAAAGCTCTACCCTTAAAATGGCTAACAGATGAACCTGTCTCGGTAGGTAAATGGCCTATGACATCTGAGAAGTTCGAGGCTTTGGAGAAGTTAGTTCAGGAACAGCTAGAGGCTGGACATATTAAGGAATTATCTATTGCATGGAATTCACCTGTTTTTGTTGTCAAGAAGGAGTCTGGTAAGTGGAGAATGGTTACAGTTCTTAGAGCCATCAACAAGGTAATTCAGCCTATGGAGTCTCTGCAACCTGGGATGCCACTACCTTCTCTAATACCTACGGGCTGGCCAATTATAGTTATAGACTTAAAAGCCTGATATTTCACTATACCGTTCAAAAGAAAACGTCACCGTACCTACCTATAATAATTCATGACTGGTAAGAAGATTCCAGTGGAAAGTGCTGCTTCAAGGTATATTAAAAAGCCCAACTTTGTGTCAATATTTTGTGCATAAATCTCTAGAAATAATTCGTAAAAGAATTCTACATTCGTTAATATATCATTATATGGATGATATATTACTGTCTGATTCAAATAATGATACTTTGGAAAAGATGTTTGAAGCAGTAAAGGAAACTTTGCCTCCCTGGGGATTACAAATTACCCGAGAAAAAATGCAAAGAGGATATTCTATTAACTATTTAGGGTATAACATAGATTCTCAGAAAGTTTGAACAAGAAAATACAGATCAGAAGATATCATTACCATACTCTTAATGATGTTCAAAAACTATTAGGAGAAATCTCTCAATTACAGACAATTATCAGTGTAGAAGGGCATGATTTAAAACACCTGAAAATGACTTTAAGAGGAGATAAAGACCTAAATAGCCCATGAGTACTATCAGCTGAGGCTGAAAAAGAATTACATTGGGAAGAATAGAGAATATTAGAGGCATATGAGGCCAGTGAGGATCCAAAACTGGACTGTATTCTGTTTATTTTACCATGTAGAGAATACCCCTCAGGAATATTAGTGCAGAGGGATGACATCATACTAGAATGGGTATTTCTGCCACATAAACAGAATAAAAACATTGAAAACATATATAGAAAAGATATCCGAATTGATATTAAAAGGTAAGTTAAGCCTTTTTTAACTGACTGGGAAAGACCCAGCTGAAATTAGTGTACCTTTAACTAACGAGAAAATTTCCTCCTTATGGAAGGTTAATGAGTATTGGCAAATAGCTTGCAGTGATTTTGGGGAACTGTTAGTAACTATCCCAAAACAGAGAGAATCAAATTCATAAAGAATACAATTTGGATTCTTCCGCATATCATGAGGCAAACACATATTACCTGAGTTCTTACGGTCTACACGGATGAAAACAAATTAGGTAAGGCAGGGTATAAAACAGGAAATATAAATAAAGTAGTTCAATGCCCTTACAACTCTGTACAAAAGGCAGAGTTATATGCCATTTTCATGGTACTTACAGACTTTACAGAGCCTCTCAATATAGTCATGGATTCTCAGTATTCAGAGAGAGTTGTCTTGAACATAGGTATAAGCATTATGGAGGAAGGTATAAAAGACTGAACAGCGGATGTCTCTCTCTCTTTCTGGCTTTCTCGCTTCCAGTTCGGCGGTGGAAAACTACTGGGCTCATCTGGGTTACTTGTTTGTCTCTTGTCTACAATAAATACTTTTACTTTCAATAAGTGTGCTGATTATTGTTGCAGCATCACATCATGATATCATTTTTCTCACAACTAAATAGTATCACATGGTGACACATATTCAAATCCCAGTTTCCCACCCATAATTTTGCATGTATACACACACTGCCTGTATGTTTTGTGCATGCACACATCAAATACTCCCTGCTCTTACTACCTACCTTTCTACTCCACTGTGTTTCTCTCTACTGATTTTGTTTTCGACCCTCTAGATTAACTGGGGACCTTTGTGAGACTGAGGATATGGAACTGTGTGTTGGAGCTTGGTTCAGGAGAAGACTACACCTAAGGAAAATTTATCTTGTCCTAAATGCATCCAAAGAGAGAATTTGAGAGGTAAACATGGGGTTCTGTGTGTCTTTCCCTTTCCTAGATTGATTTATTGATTGTTGTCTAGTGTGGGGCCAATGCAAGTAAGTACACCTGTGGTTGGTTACTGATTACAACAGCTGTATGGAATCTAGAGAATGGCATGTCTTAGGCAGAAGTGGGCACGCCTTTAATCTCAGCACTCATGAGACAGAGGCAGATAGATCTCTGTTAGATCAAGTCCTCACTGGCCTATATAAGAATGATATAGTCTAAAAGAGAAAGGGTGCTCACACCTTTGATTCCTGCAATTAGGATCACAATTCTTTATTCCCACTACTAGGGAGGTGAGAATAGGATTGATGGCTGGTTGGAGAGAGGAATATAAGGCAGGAGGTGACTGGATCAGTTCAATGTGAGGTTTGGTGGAGATCATTGCAGTCTCTATATTCCTTGAGACAGTATTACCCATTTTGACTGACAGAGATAAGAGCTAGGGAATAGCCTCTTTGTTTTTCTAATCTTCAGGCAAGCTTTATTTGTTAGATTATAACAAAATATCACTACATATATCTTACTTATTTTCTGCATTTGGTCTTGGCATTCACCTAGGTGTAGGTGGGGACAGTGTGTGTTGGATAGTGGTCTAAGCACCTTACTTGGAATCAGCCGCAGAAGACAAACGTGTTTTTGAATTACTAAAATGATAATACCACCATCTACTGGTGTCAGCAGTATAGTGAAGGATTAACTCAGAGATTGGCTATTTGCATGCGCTGGCCACAAACTTATTGAGACACTTATCTGGGGGTGGGGGGTTGGAGGCATCTTTTCTCTGTGGTTTCAGAGGCTGTCCTGGATCCAGCTATTGTAGACCAGGGTGGTCTCAAACTCACAGAACTCTGCCTCCTGAGTGCTAGTATACATGGCGTGCACTATAACTGACTGGCATTTTTTTCTGTTTTCTCTTTTAGGTTTTGAAACAGGGTTTCTCTGTATGTCTTTGGAGCCTGTTCTGAACCTCAATCTGTAAAACAGGCTGACTTTGAACTTTCACTAATGAGCCTGCCTGTGCATTTCCTGTGGTGGGATTTAAGGCATGAGTCTTCTTTTCAGAATCCAAGTTCCTGAAATGTCTCTCCCCAAGTCATAATTGCCATATTTCATTTTGGCTTACTAGGTTTCTGTTAGAAATGGGACGCAGGCATCATATTTATTTTGTTGAGATGAGGTTACCTGATTCTATCTGAAGGGCTCATATTCACTGTGTGGGACAGTTATCAGGATGCAGAGACCTCTTCCATTCAGTTCTGTTTTAAGCATGCAGCAAGCATGTGAATAGGCTTTGTGGAGGTGATCTCAGGCATGCAGAAATTAACTGTGTGGAAGGTAATGTGAGACAACAGGACAGACTGGTGAGCTTTGGCAGGACCACTCATCTGTAAAGATATGTTGTGGGGTGGTTAGGCTTTAGATGGTTGAAGAGAAAGACTGCAGAGTGGAAGAAGCTATAGAATTCTCAGTACTCGGATTTTGGGAGTGAGTGAGGAATGAGATGTTCCACGGTGAAGATAAATGGTTAAGTGTCACAGACAAAATACATATATAACAACCAGGCCTGCAACATGGGAAATTCTTGGTGCAGATCTGGTGCTGAGGAAAAGGACAAATACTCACTGGGACTCAAAAACCACACACAGTCACAGATTTCAGGTCAGGAGTCATGGGAAAATCACCAGTCAACAGTACAGTTGCAGGTAATGCTGGCCTGGGACATAAGATGGAAGTGTCCATGGGTGCAATTAGTTCCTCCGCTGTTTATATGGAATCTGGCTCTGAATTTCTGCTGTGGATGTCTTACCATTATGAGCAAATTTCACATTATATGGACTGGACTATTTTTCCACTTTTATTGATACTCATTGCAAAAATATTCTTATAGAATCATCTAGGAGAATATTTGAATTTATGCGGTGATATTTGCCATCAGTTCTTTTTGCTACCACAGAAATGACAAAGTTCTTGATATATGCAGTCATCCATATGCACTTCCATGTTAAATCAATTCCGTATTCAAACAGTGGCACATAAAAAGTAGCGAGTAGGCATTCTCAAACAGGAAATGTAATCAAACCCGAAATTAGCGGTTTTTTTTGTTCCATGGGCATAGGTATAAACATTTACATTTAAAATTGAAATTTTTACCCAGCATTAGTTTTTCATGTGAGAAATATGCACTGTCAATTAAATACAGCATTCTGAAAAGTGTTTTGACAGCTTTGTTGCAAACAATTTTTATCCCATCATTGGTGAGGCAAACACAGCTGGATTTCAATGAGATACAGGCTACCCCTTTGCCATACTGAGTTCTGCAGCAGCCTGGGTTTCGTGGGGAGAACACTTCTCTGAAAAAAAAAGAAATTTTATTTTCATGCTGAGTCTTTAATGTTGCACTCTTGAGCCTGGAAAAGCACAGTATGCTGTTTCATGGTACCAGTTCACAGTATTTTCCCAGTTAGAAAAGGAGTTATAAACCAGGTGGTGTTGGCACTGGTCTGTAATCCAATTTTTCAGTATTTACCCTGATATCTGATTCCAGGTTTATTAACACGAATTAGAATTCAGGAGAACAGGCTGCAGGAATGCGCTCCCGCCATGTCCAACAAAATGCATTTGTCTTTGGAGGACATCATTAAGCTGAATCAGAGTCAGCGAGGAGGTCGAAGTGGAGGCCAGGGCTGCAGCAAGGCTGACTCCAAGAGCAGCCGCGGCTGTGCCATGCAGTCTTCTGCGCTGGTGAATTGAGGCATCACACCTCTGAGGATCTAGCCTTCCATCTCTGACAGCACTGCAGGTGGTGGCAGGAGCCAACTGGATCGCTACAGCAGGCCAAAACAACTTCCAGACAAGTGGCATCATGACCTATTCGACAGAGGCTTCAGGGATGGAGCCAGCATGGAGACCATTGGAAAGCTGTTGGTGTCAAACCTTGACTGCAGGATGTCAGACACAGATATTCAGGAACTCTTCTCAGAGTTTGGAACACTGAAGACAGGAACTGTGCACTACGATCAATCTGGACAAAGTTTATGGACAGCAGATATGTATTTTGAACTGAAGGCAGATGCCCTGAAGGCTATGAAACAGTCCAATGTTGTCCCATTAGATGGCTGCCCCATGAACAATCAGCTGGTCACATCACAGGTTGACATGCCAAGAAGACATGTACAGAGCATAACCAGAGATGGCATGAGGAGAAACGGTGGCTCTGGGGGTTTTGTTGGTGGTGGCACCCAGAGATGGATCCATGGAGGCAGCCATGGAAGAGGTAGAGGTACGGGCAGGAACTCAAAGCAGCACCTTTCTGCGGAGCAGTGGGATGCACAGTTGGATACTTACAATGCTCAGATGGACACCAGTTAAACATCTGAGCAAATCCGCAGAAGAAACAGAACCCAGAAGCTTTGTCTGTGATCCCTAGAGGTAGGGTTAGCAACTGGACTGTGCAGACATTGCTGGATTTTTTTCATTTCTCACTCTATCCTCTCTCTCTCTTCCTGTTTTACAATAGGATATAAAAACTCATATAAATGCTTTTTTTAAAAATTCTGAAACAGACCTGTTTTGCAACAAGTTATTTTGGAGATACAGTTTACTGGTTGCTGTTGTGGAGAAGGTGGCATTTTCATCTTTGCCATAATAAAGTAGAATTGTGTGTAAGAAAACAAAACAAAATAAAACAGACTTCTGGGGACAAAACCTACTGTGTTTTATTTTGTTGTGTGCTGACAACTAGAGGTGTGACTGTGGACTTCCCTCAGGAAGAGGGTCAATGCCTGCAAACTGTTCAGCGGGATTTGTACAGAGCAAGGATGCTAATGCATTGCAGCGGTCTGCTTTCTGTGGATAAAAACAGTTCGCTTGCAGTCTCCCTTGCTCCTCCTCAGGGTTTCTTGGAAAATTTCTTGTTAAGTGTATTTCTTTCTGGCATATTTTCATTTAATTTGGTCTATGTTAAATCCAATAATTCATTTTGTGTGCTTTTGTGATCCCAATCACTCAGTTCCATTTCTGCTCCTGAGGTTTGACTTGGAAGTGATTGGAAGTGGTGTTCAAATTACACTCACTTAAGATGCTTCCTATGTATTTTCAGTGTTTTAACTATGGTTGAAAATTGGAGATTCAAGTTTAGAATCCTGTATCTTTATCTACTTGAGTAAAGTTCTGTGTTAACAATCCAGGTCTCTTTCTCATGTTGGGGAAAACTCCGATACCCACCACAGATGTGGCTAGTATCCCAGATGTTACTCATTATCTACAGGCAACATCAGCCTATCACTATCAATGAATACAATAGGTTCTGGATACAGGGGAGGACTCAAAGCCTTGGAGTTACATAATAAACTAACAATACTTCACAAACTTTTACAAAGTCAACAAATAGGGGAAAAACTCACTCACAAAATACCCCCAACAAAAGCAAACAAGAATCCACAGTCAATGGTCATTAATATGCCGCTATATCAATGGTCTTAACTCACCTATATAAAGACACAGACTAAAAGAAAGGATACAAAGACAAAATGCATCTTTTTTCCTGCATGCAAGAAACAGACCTCACCTTCAACGCAGACATTACCTCAGAGTTTAAGGTTTGGAAAAGATTTTCCAAGCAAATGGCCCTAAGAAGTGTGCTTTTATAAATATTCTAATATCTAGCAAATTGAACTACAAACTAAAAGTAATCAAAAGAACTGAAAAGGGTATTTCATATTCATCAGAGGAAAAAACATCAAGATGATGTCTCAATAATCAACATTTTTGCTCCAAATACAAAGTCACCGACAGTTGTTAAGGAAACATTACTAAAACTCAAATCCTACATTAAACCACACACATTTATAGTGGAAGAGTACATAACCATTATAAAAAAAAACTCTCACCACTTGATGACACTACCAGACACAAACTTAACAAATAAACCAAGGAAATAACAGGTGTTAGCCAATTATGTTTAACAGACATGTATAAAATTTCCCACCAAAACATAAATGAATATACCTTCTTCTCAGTGCCACATAGAGCCTACTCAAAAATAGAACCATAAAACAAACTTCAACACATCCAAAAATTTGGAAAACCACCCTGAATCTTATCAGACTGTCACAGCTGAAAATTGGAATTCATCAACAAAAGAAATTGCAGAAATTATACAAACTCATGGAAATTGAACAATGCTCAACTGTATCACACCTGAGTAAAGATAGAATAAAAGAAAGCAATCAAAGACTTCCTAGAATTCAATGCAAATGAAGGCCCAACATACCCAAACATATGGGACTCTCTAAAAGCAGTGCTGAGAGGAAAGTTCATAGAATTAAGTGCCCATATGAAGAAACTGGAGAACAACTGAAAGCTCTAGAACAAAAAAGCAAAGTCACCCAGGAGGATTAGATGTCAGGAAATGATTAAATAAGCAGCTGAAATCAATAAAATAGAAACAAAACAATACATATAATCAATGAAACCAAGAGCTGGCTCTTTGAGAAAATCGACAAGCAAAAGGGAGAACATGCAAATTAAGAAAATCAGAAATTGAAATGGGAACATAACTAGAGTCACAGGGGAATCCAGAAACTAATCACCTCATACTTTGAAAATCTATACTCCAAAAATGGGGAAATTAAAAGGAAATGGACAATTTTATGGTAGATATCACATACCTAATTTAAATCAAGAATTTATATAGACCTATAAACCCGAATGAAATAGAAACTATCATCAAAAGTCTCCCAACCCCAAAAGCCCAGGCCCAGATTGTTTAAGTACAAAATTATTCCAGAAATTCAAAGAAGAGCTCCTGAAACTGTACAAACTATACAAACCAGTACTCCTCAAACTGTTCAACACAATAGAAGCAGAAGGGTCATTGCCAAACTCTTTTTAATAGGATATAATTACCTTGGCACACAAACCACACAAAGCACAGCTAAGAAAGTGAACTACTGGCCAATATTCTTTATGAACATTGATGCAAATATACTCAAGAAAATACTGGACAATCAAATTCAACAACACAACAGAAAAATCATCACCATGATGTGTAAAGGGAAGCCTTTTTCTTGAGAGAGGCCTTCCCGGCAGCCTGGTTCCAGAGCTGCATCAGTCCCAAATAAACACACAGGAAGCTATATTAATTATGAAGCTGTTGGCCTTGCTTGGGACTTCTGAAGGTGAAAACCTATGGAGATTAAACAACTCACAACTCAATTATGAGTGAATCTTTATGAAATCAACAGTAGAAAGACTCATACAATAAAATGAAAATTGTATTCCACATCCTGTAATCTATTAGATGCAATGTAAACAGTCCTAAGACAGATGTTTAAAGGTCAATAAACCAGCATTAAGAATTAAAATCGATGTCAGATAAACTAGTTAATGTTTAACTATAGGGTTTTGGAAAAGTAGCAAGTCAAATCAAACAACAAAATCAGTATCTGGAGAAAAGCAGTGATATGTAAACAGCAGCAACAACTGAAAAATACAGAGATTCAATTAAGTAGAAATTTTTACTTCAAAGAAAAAGAATATGGACAAATTTAGATTAGATAAACAAAAGAAAGAATGAATGGCAAATCTTCTACAGTAAGATATGAAAATGCAATTACTATGACAGGCACCAGTGAAATTCAGTAAATTATTAGAGTTTGCATTAAAAACTTAGCACTAAACTAGAAAATCACAAACACATGGATGAATTTCTACATAGATTAAAAACTATCAAAATTAAACTAGGATGACATTTTAAAAATCAAATCGGTAAGGGTGGGGAGAAACTCAGATGTTAAAAGAATTCAGTGTGTTTTAGAGGACAAGGATTCAATTGTGAGTCACCACTTGATAGCTCACCAAACCCTCTTCCAGCCTATGTGGGCACCAGAGAAATATGCAACATACACATACACATGCAAGAAAAAGTATAAAATAAAAGTCCTTGAAAATAGTCATGCCTAGCCCAGACTCTTGCATACACCTCCGAGGCCAGTCAAGGCACAGCATGAATAGGTCTGAACCACTCAGCTACTCTTGATGCTCAGATCAGGATCTTGAGTTAACCCATGCCAACATCCCCCCTATTTTTGAGATGCTGGACCAGGTGAAAGAACTGTTACTGTAATACCAAATGCCACAAGATCTCCATGAGTATGAACAATAGTATGATATCTGAGAGGAGGTGGGATGAGAGTCCAGTATTGACAATATAGCAGAAAAAGAGCCTCTCAGTCACAACAATGACTCATTACAATAAACCTTTGGAAGGAAACATGTTTGAGCAAAAGTTTATACTATGTGACATGCCTTAGCTCCCCATGCCATTATGATGAACAAATATGTGATGGAATGTAGGGAAGAAAGGAAGGACAAAGTGGTACATATATGGGAAACTAGGAACTGGAGATACCACAGCTGTGACTAGAAAGAAAGAATACTCTCTACAAGAGCTAGTTCCAGGACAGCCTCCAAAACAAAGAGAAACCCTGTCTTGAAAAACCATAAAAGAATTGGGTTGGAATTAAGCTGTAAATTCTGTTGAATATGCAGATTGCTTTTATAAGACCATCATTTTTACTATGTTATTCATACCAGTCCAGGAGCATGGTAGACGGTTTTCCACTTTGGATGTCTTATTCAGTAAAGTATGATTCTCAAATTTTATTACATTTAAATTTTTTGTTATAACTTTTATATACTATTTTTGAGAGGTTACTACAGTGTAAGTCATATATAGAAGGACTGGGTAATGTGTGGGATTGGAGTACATGATGGGATTTTCACAAAGACTAAATAAAAAATCAAGTTACAATAAACACTGAGGCATATAACAAGCAATACAACTGCTTGATGAAAGTTTGTTGAACTGTGCCATAATAGAAATAGAAGTAGGTATACCAAAAGTTACTTTTCTGAAGTGGCGTCATCAATAAAAAACTAGACAAATATTCAACACAGAAAGAAAAGTACAGAACAAGATCCATGATGACCATTGTTGCAAAACTTCTTAACAAGATAGTTTTTATCCAAATTTGGGAACATATAAAGAGCAGTGAAATGGCTCATCATCTCATCATGTAAAGCTGTTTGCTGCTAAACCTGATGACCTAAATCCACATGATCAAAAGAAAGAAGACATTCATGTGAGTTGTCATGTGGTCTTTATCTGCACTCTTGAGTACACACATACCCACGCAATATACATTTATGAACACATATGTTATATCAAAACAATTCCTCACTATGATAAAGTTTACTTTAATCCACAGAGGATGTGTGGTGTTTGTTTAATACATAAGTATAAACAAATATAAATTAAATAGCATAAATGGACTAAGAAACAGGAAATGCACTGTAATCATTGTTGA